CTTGGAAAATGAGAACAGTTATCGGCTTGTCAAAAGGTCTGAGAAGCCCTGTGGCAAAGAACTATTTAAGCTTATTTATCCAGGGCTTTTCTTTTTTTTTTTGGGTCCAGTCGTGGGGCCTGAACTCAGGGCCTGGGTGCTGTCCCTCAGCTCTTCAGCTCAAGGCTAGCACTCTACCACTTGAGCCACAGCGCCACTTCCGGCTTTCTGGTGGTTTATTGGAGATAAGAGTCTCACGGACTTTTCCTGCCCGGGCTGGCTTTGAACTGCGATCCTCAGATCTTAGCCTCCTAAGTAGCTAGGATTACAGGAGTGAGCCACCGGCATTTGGCTTCACTGTTTCTTAATTTTACTTACTTTTTGTCTTCAAATAAACCAGTTACTAATATTTTTTCGGTACAAGGGTTTGATCTCAGGGTTTTGAACTTGTTAAACAAGGTCACTCTACCATTTTGGCCACTGCCTCAGCCCTACTGTTGTTGTTGCTTTCTTGTTTTCCAGGTAGGGTCTTACGCTTTTGTCCAGGACGGCCCTCTTTGTGCATAGTTCTCCTGCTGATGGCCTCTTGGACATCTGCAACCACAGGTGTACACCACCATGCATGCCCATGTGACTTACTGAGTGAGATGGAAGTCTTCCTGACTTTTATCATAATTCAAGACCTTATAACACCTTTTCTAGACATAATCTTAACAATCTGGTTTTCTGACAATCCTGATTAGTTCTGATTCATTCAATATTTCCACACTTATCCAAGTACAGGTCTAATATATCACATTTTTTCCACCTTGTCCTTCACTAACAATCATGGCTTTCCTTATGCACTAATCTCATTATACCAGTTTTCCTAACTTGCCTCCCTTCTACGGTGTCCTTATATGCAGGACTACTTCTGATGCCCTATCATTTACCATGGCTGAGCTCTTGCACATCTAATTATTTAGCCTCTCTTTTCTTCTCCCAAATCCAAGCTCCTGAAAAAGCTGGCCCTTAAATCACGACTCGGTAAATACACCAAGTCCTGCATAAAGGTTTCTTTTTGAGCCCAATCAATCGTTAACATGACCACTCTCTTCTTTTTGGGGGACAATTCTGAGATTTGAACTTAGGGCCTCACACATTCAGCTTGCTTGCATAGCCAATCCTTTTTACCAGTTGAACTACACCTCCTGCCCTATTTTTTGCTTTTTTTTGAGACAAAGTCTTAGGAACTTTTCTGCCCAGGTTAGCTCTGATCCATGATTCTCTGGATCTCAGCCTCATGAATAGGAGAATTACAGACAGAAGCCACTAACAGTGGTCATCATTCACTTCTTCAGTGCTATTGCAAATTCTCTGTATTTTTAATATGCTATTACCTTCAATTAGCTTTGGATAAGGATTAATAGCAAGGATCTAACTACAAAGCCTACATCTGAATCTAGCTGGTAATTAACTCTGTATGCCCTTGGGCAATTTATTAACACCTCTATGTCCCAGTTTTCTCTTTTGTAAAATGGGATAAGAAAAACAACTATTTCAGGCTGGGCTTGGTGACTCATGCCTGTAATGCCAAATCAGGAAAAGATTGCTTTTTTTTTGGGCCGGGGGGGGGGGGGGGGGGGGGGGGGGGGGGGAATTGGAGAGGAGAGAAGAGGGGGCAGAGGGCATCTCAGTCCTGTCATGGAGCCTGTACTCTGGGCCTGGGCGCTGTCCCTCAGCTCTTCAGCTCAAGGCTAACGCTCTAACACTTGAGCTACAATGCCACTTCCGGCTTTTTTCTTTTTCGCTTATATGGTGCTGAAGAATGGAACCCAGGGCCTCAGGCCTGCAAGGTAAGCGCTCTACCACTGAGCCACCTTCCCAGCCCTTGCTTTTTCTTTTTAAGGGAAGCCCTGGACAAAAAGTTAGCAAAACCCCCATGTCAACATATAGGGTAAATGAAATCAGACAGGTGTGGTAGTGTGGCCTATGGTCCAGCACTGAGGTAGGCGTAGGTGAGAAGCACAGTCTGAGGCTGAAGTGAGAAGAAACCTTCTGAGACTCTATTTGAAAAATAACTAAAACAAAAGAAAAGGGCTAGGGTGTGGTTACAGTGATAAGAGTAAGTGCAAAGCCCTAGGTTCAAACCCAGGTCCTGCAAGGGAGAGGTAACTATAAGAGAAGTGCTTTGGAGGGCTGGGAAGGTGGCTCAGTGGTAGAGCACTTGCCTTGCATGCCTGAGGCCCTGGGTTCGATTCCTCAGCACCACATAAGCAACAAGAAAAAAAAAAGCTGGAAGTGGTGCTGTGGCTCAAGTGGTAGAGCGCTAGCCTTGAGCTGAAGAGCTGAGGGACAGCATCCTGGCCCAGAGTTCAGGCCCCACGACCGACCCCCCCCCCCAAAAAAAAATGTTTATTGGTAGAGTGCTTGCCTTGCATACATAACGCCCTGGGTTCGATTCCTCAGCACCACATAAGCAGAAAAAGCTGGAAATGGCACTGTGGTTCAAGTGGTAGAGCACTAGCCTTGAGCTGAAGAGCTGAGGGACAGTGCCCAGGCCTAGAGTTCAGGTCCCACGACCGGACCCAAAAAAAAAACAAACAAAAAAAACCCCTGTTACAATGATATGTGCTATGAGAAAAAATAAAACATGGAATGTGAGAAGTGCGGGTGAGTACAATTTCAAATAGCATGGACAGGCAAAAGCAGAAGAAAGCCATAGGTTTATCTAAGAAGACCCTATTGGAATTTAGGACAGCTGGTACAGTACCCTAGCGTGGCAACTGCACAGTATGCCTGGCATTTTCAAGACACATTAGGGACAGTGTGCCTGAAGCTGAGTAACTGAGAAGGAAGAACAAGAAATAAGGTCAGAGAGGTAATGGGCTAAGAAATTCAAATTACTATCCTAAGAAAATGAGGAGGTAAGCTGACTTCTGAGGTACATTTATGTTGAAAATATATTTGAATATATTGAATGCAGACTGCCTTGTATCCCCTTTTCACTCCATTAACATGCTACAAACTATTGAATGATTTCAGATAATTGAAAATGTGTAATAAATTACTCTATAATTCCATTTGAAGGACTGTAGCACTCTATGTTACAGACAGTAAGAATGCTTCTAAGTGGTACCAAGAGAAATCATTTGAAGAAACTCTCTTAAACTCTGCACCTATTATACAAAAAACTTCAATGAAAACTTTTTTTTTTTTTTTTGTGGGTCCTAGGGCTTGAACTCTTCAGCTCAAGGCTAGAATGCTACCACTTTGAGCCAAAGCACCACTTCCTGTTTTCTGGTAGTTAAATGGAGATAGAGTCTCATAGACTTTCCTGTCTGGGCTGGCTTTGAATTGTGATCCTCAGATCTCAGCCTCTTGAGAAGCTAGAATTACAGGTGTGAGCCCCCGGCACCTGGCACGTGTTATTTTCTAAAAACAAACTTCAAATAGGAGCTAGGTAGAGTGCTCACCTAGAATAAACTAGGTCCTGACTGGTTTGATGTCCAGCACCAAAAAACAATACAAGAAAAAAATAGTATAGATGACTTCAGTTTGGGTTGGAACAAAAATCCTTAGAGGGTTCTGAGCAGAGTAGTGATATGCTGTGACAGGTTTTTTTTTCAATTTTTTGTTTATTGTTATTATAAAGGTGATATACAGGGGTTGCAATTACATAAGTCAGGGTAAAAAGTATATTTCTTTTTGGACAGTGTCATCCCTCCCTTTCTTCCCTCCCGCAATGACGCTTTTAACAGCATCCGTTGGGCTGCTGTGTTGAGAAAAGAGACAAGAATGCTAACAGGAAGATCAGACAGGAGGCTAAGGAGCCTATCACACAAATCCAGGTCAGGGACCAGAATGGTCCAGGGACGAAGACACAGTTGGATTTTGGATATTTTGGGGGATAGGTGGAGCTGGCAGAAACTTCCTAAGCAGCTGGATTATCTACCAGGGAATGAGAGAAAGAAGGTTCAAAGATCCCTCCCTCAAGGGCTGAGCATTTAGCTCTAGAGCTCTTGCCTTGCATGCCTGGGCCCCTAGGTCTGACCCTCAGCAAAAAAAGATAACTCCAAAGTTTTCTGATGAATAACTGGAAGGATGAAGGAATGCATGGAATAACACACTTAGACAGACGTTCAAGAGGTCACAGTAAACTTGCTAGCCTGAGATGATCTGCTAGTAGAGCTGTCACATGGGCAGTATCATAGTTAAGTCTATAAATCAGGGGAGAGACTTGGGCTGAAAGTGAGTATTTGGAAGCCATCAGCAAAGAGACTCTATTTAAAGCTACAGCACGAGATCACCAAGGAAATGGATAGAGACAAATAAGACATAAGGCTGAGCCTTTGGATTCTCCAAAATGAGCAAGAAATAAGGTAAAAAAAATGTGGATGCACAGAGACAGAAATTGATTTCTGAGAGAGAAAGGTTGATGGTGGAGTCCAGGACATTTTGTGATGCTTGATATAAAGACAGTAAGATTAAATTGATGGTCACAAGATTAAAAGTGGCAATAAGGTTGTGAATTCTGAAAGGAAAGCTGTGAGTTTGGGTAGAAGCTCAGTGTTCCAGAGTCATTGTTTATTACTGTCAGTGGCCATACACAAATTACAGAAGTATAGTAACATAGGTCTCTTTCTTAGGGATCCTTTCATTTGAATTTATATCTATGGTTAAATACTATCTTTCACATATAAACTAGGAATAACTGTAAAAATAATCAATACTACCTCCTTCCTGCATTGGAAGGACTTTGGACTCTTTTTATTCCTTCCAAATGGAATAAACTATCAGGAACTATTGGAGAAGGCTTTTTCTCTAAAAGAAATCTATTCCTTGAAGGCCAAAAAACAAACATTTTTCAAACAGATTTGAGTGCCATCTGCTCTCGCTAGTGATACAAGGAACCTATGAAATTATGCTTTTGTAATTTCACACTTCTCTGAAGATTATGTGTACTTTTGAATTAAAATAAACCAAAACTCCTATTTTAGGATCAGAGTGGGAAAGAAGCTCAAGAGGCCATTCAGACTAACTTCCAATCTAAATCACACAAGATGGAGAATTGTATAAATGTCTGATTTCATAGATTCTTTGATTATATCACAACCAATATAAACTCTGTTCCTGTCTTTTTGGTTTTGAATAAAGGCTAACAAAACTTTATTCCTTTTTTTCTCATTTATTTTATTTTATGTTTTTTGCCAGTCTTGAGGTCTGAACTCTGCCTGAATTCCTTTTGCTCAAGACTAACACTTTACCACTAAAGCCACAGAGCCATTTCGGATTTTTCTGTGATTTAATTGGAGATAAGATGCTCACAGATTTTCTTGTCCAGGCTGGCTTTGAACCATTATCCTCGGCTCTCAGCATCCTGATTTACTTTGATTATAGAATGAACCACCAGTGCTCAGCTAACTTTGTTCCTTTCTATATGAGATTTTGATAGATGAATTCTTTGATTATATTTCTGAAGTCTGAATGTCTGCCACATTATCAGAAAAAAAATGGGAGTTTTCTCAGGTAAATAGAAAAATAATTAACAAAATGTACATATTTAAAGCATAAATTTCCATAAATTTTGACCTATCAAAATAGTACTTAAAATCACCTGTAGAAGTTCTGTGTGCCTCACTGTAATCTCAGCACTTCTAGGCATATATCCAAAGGAAAGTAAATCAATAGATAAAAAAGGTATCTAAATTCCCCTGTTTGGGCTGGAAATGTGGCTCAGCAGTAGAGTGCTTGTCTAGCATGCACAAAGCCCTGGGTTTGATTCCTTAATTACCACATAATGAGAAAAAGCCACAAGTGGCTCTATGGCTCAAGTGATAGAGTGCGAGCCTTGAGCAAAAGAAGCTCAGGGACAGTGCCCAGTCCCTGAGTTCAAGCCCCAGGACTGGCAAAAATAAATAAATAAATTCCCCTGTTTATTGTAGCTCTGTTCACAATGGCTAAAATGAGGAATCAGCTAAGTTGCTCAACAACCAATGAATGGATACAGAAAACATTTATATATATGTATGTATACATAGTCCATATATATAAATATGTATTATATATAATATATACATGTACATTTATGTAAGAATACATGTATAATACTCCATGTATAATATTCTGTGGTATATATGTGTATATATACATATGCATATACACAGTAAACATTGTTTGAAAATAGTAGAGAAGAGAATGGAAGGGAGCAATGGGAATATGATAGATGCGTGAATTTTTTTAAAATATACTGTGTGCATATATGGAAAGATTACAAATATACATTAACTCATTTTTTTTTTTTTTGTCAGTCGTGGGGCCAGAACTCTGGGCCTGGGCACTGTCCCTCAGCTTTTCAGTTCAAGGCAAGAGCTCTACTACTTGAGCCATAGCGCCACTTCCAGCTTTTTCTGCTTATGTGGTGCTGAGGAATCGAACCCAGGGCCTCATGCATGCAAGGTAAAGCGCTCTACCACTGAGCCACCTTCCCAGCTCCATTAACTCAATTTTTTTAACAAACAATGCTGAAGGTATCACAATATCTGACTTCAAATTACACTCAGAGACAAAACAGTATGATGCTCACAGCCAAATAGACCAGTGGAAGAGAATAGAAGATCTAGAAATGAATCCACATAGCAGTAGCCATCTGATTTTTGACAAATGAGACAAAAACATACATTGGACTAATGACAGCCATTTCAACAAATGATGTAAGGAAACCTGGATATCCATATGTAGAAGACTGAAACTAGAACTCTGTCACACCCTTACTAAAATTGATTCAAATTAATCAAAGACCTTAATGAAGACTTGAAATATTGAAACATGAAAGCATAGGGGAAATACTAGAATATATAGGCATAAGAAACAACTTCATGAATAGGACTCAAATGCTCAGCAAGTAGGAGCAAGAATTGACAAATGGGCTTATATCAAATTAAAAAGCTTTTGCACATAAAAGGAAAAAGCTTCTGATTATCAAGAGATAATCACAGAATGGAAGAAAATCTTTGCAAACTATTAATTGGACAAAGGATTAATATTCAGATTATATAAACAACCAAAGAACAAATAGTTCAATTAATAAGTAGCAGTCAAATTGAATAGAAAGTTCTCAAAAGAGATTTTAAAAAACCAGCTGCTAAATACACCAAGAAATGTTTAACATTCTTAGTCATAAAGGAAATGCAAGTCAAAACTAAACTGAGATTCTATGCCTAGAAGGCCAGTCATCAATAAAATAGGTAACAATGCAGAGAAAAAGGAATCCTTATATACTATTAGTGGGAATGTAAATTAGTGCAGCCACTATTAGAAAAATTGTGGAGAGTCTTCAAGAAACTAAAAATAGAACTACGATATGATCCTGCTGCTATATGTGCATGTATTCAAAGGAACGTAAATCACCATGTAAGAGAGATACCTGTACAAGCATGCTTATAGCAGCACTATTTACAATAGCCAGAAGAGAAAAGTAGCCTAAGTGCTCAACAACAAATGATTGGTTAAAGAAAATGAAGTTCATAAATACAATGGAATATTATTTATCCACAAAGAAGAGTGAAATTATGTCATTTGCAGGAAAATGTTTAGAACTAGAGATCATCATGTTAAGCAAGACTAGCCAAACACAAAGTCAAATTTTGGATATTTTCATATGTGGAATCTCAACCTAAAAATAATAATGTGACATAACTGTAACAAGGGGACTAGTTGGAGAGGGAATCAGCAGATGGGGAAAGAGGCAAAGAACAGGGTGATGAGAAGTATGTGTGTGAATATTATAAAAGTACATTATGTATGTGTATGAAAACAGTATAGTGAAACTCATGAGTTTAATTAATGTATATTCTATGCATGCTATAAAAGTCCTTGTGTAAAATCAATTTATACTAATAAAAATTTTAAAGTTAGATATTTGAAGAAATATAGTAAAATGTATATGTAATCCTGTACTTTTCACATTCATTCACATTTTTCAACTAGGAAGAATTTTCTTTCATAGCAAATCTTACCTCATTGTATCTGTTGCTGGGTATTTTGATGCTTGTTTTCCGAACTTCCATGTCAACTACCAACCCTTGAACTACTGGCAAAGTATACTGGTAATTTCTGAAGTCCTGAGCAAAAACAGATTTAAGTAGAATAAGGAATTCATCAATAGCAAGGTTTGATTTATAGGAATGAAACTAAAACAAAGGGAAAAGCATGCCAATATTGAACAACTATTTTATTTAAGCAATAAGAAAATGTATAATGCAATGCTACTGCATATATTATAACTCTCTAAGACTGTAAACACTTATTGGGAAGTAAACCAAATAATTTCCTATACTTGTTCTACTTGACATTAAACAAATACTTGAATGCTTTATCATCACTTAACTTTTTTTTTTTTTTTTTTGCCAGTCGTGGAGCCTGAACTTTGGGCCTGGGCGCTGTCCCTCAGCTCTTCAGCTCAAGGCTAGCACTCTACCACTACAGCCAGAGGGTCACTTCTGACCTTTTCTGCTTATGTGGTACTGAGGAATCGAACCCAGGGCTTCATGCACGCAAGGCAAGCACTCTAACCACTAAGCCACCTTCCTAGCCCCTCACTTAACATTTTTTATATTTCTCTTGTTCACTGTTTTTAAGGTAAACTCCAATGGGATAAGGACTCTCACTTGATTTAATCTTCTTATTCTGTAAAGTCTGGACTCTAGAAAATGTAAGTGCCTATCCCGTATTCAATATGGCTGAAGCCAAAGGAGCAATAGCGGCTGGAGTCAAGGCCAAAGTGATTGTATACATCTAAGTTTTCATAGGTTACCACAAAGCCTTTTTAGGGAGGAGATGGGAGACAAGGTGTTTCTAGATAACCCAGGCTGGCCCCCATCTTGTAATCTTAGGCAGCTAAGCCTTCCAAGTTCTGACATTACAAATATCCACCAGAACACTAATTATCACAAAGACTTTCAATTTTGAAGCTTCTGCCCTGTTTTCATAGATCTGACTTCCCTATAAACAATAGCGGTGAGTAAGTATAAGCAAAAGTAGAGGATATAAACACAATAAAAATAATCTAGGTAGGGCTGGGAAGTTGGCTCAGTGGTAGAGTGCTTGCTTTGCATGCTTAAGGCCCTGGGTTCGATTCCTCAGCACCACATAAGCAGAAAAAAAAAGCCGGAAGTGGTGCTGTGGCTCAAGAGGTAGAGTGCTAGCCTTGAGCTGTAGAGCTGAGGAATAGCACCCAGGCCAAGAGTTCAGGCCCCACAACCGGACCAAAAAAATAAATAAATAATCTAGGTAGGCTGGGCATCAGTGGCTCATACCTGTAATCCTAACTACCCCGGAAGCTAAGATCTGAGGATTGCAGTTCAAAGCTAGCCCAAGCAGAAAAGCCCCAGAGACACTTATTCTCCAGTTAACTGTCAAAAAGCTGGAAATGGAGATTTGGCTCAAGTGGTAGAGCACTAGCTTCAAGCTTCAGGGACAGTGCACAGGCCCCCTGAGTTCAAGTTGCAGGACCAGCACAAACACACACATACACACACACACACACACATACATGTACACGCACACACACAAAAAAGTAATAGTTCAAAAGATGATAAGGAATTGTCTGAGTCTAGATATGTTAAAAGAACACTGACAAACCATTGAATTGGATATGGAATGTGAACAAAGGACAAAAAGTTTTAAATCATTCTACATCTTATTATCAGTGCTACTTTAACAATATTTAGTGAGATGTAGAAAGTGACAGGAAGAGTTGGGTGTACCTAAGTACCTCACCTATGTTACTTGCAAAAAGCTCAACAATGTTGGCAGAAGCACAAAAATATTCATCACAACACAAAGTAAAATCACAATGTCTGGTATTCAGTAAAAAATAGCAACTATGCAAAGTAGCAGGAAAACAAAACTTGAAATGAGAATTAAAAAAAAATCAACCCAAGGACACTGAGATAGAATTGACACAAGATGTCAGAATTACCAACTGGGATATGGTAATAGTTATTATAAATGTATTCTAAATGTTCAAAAGATAAGTCAAGGAATGGGATTGAGCCCAAGTAGTAGAGTGCCTGCCTAGTAAATGTGTGGCCCGAAGTTCAAACCCCAGTTTCCTTTTTTTAAAAAAGACAATTGAAAGCATACATTATTTAAAATGACCCAAGACAGGTGTGGTGGTACATGCCTGTAATCCCACATACTTGAGAGGTTGAAGAAGTACTGCAAGTTGTTTAAGGCCAATGTGGGCTAAATAGGGAGACCAAGAAACCACTAAAAATAATTTTTAAGTCAGGCACCGGTGGCTCATGCCTGTAATCCTAGCTACTCAGGAGGTTGAGATCTGAGGATCATGGTTCAAAGCCAGCCTGGGCGCAGAAAGTCCCTGAAACTTTTATCTCCAATTAACTACCAGAAAACTGGAAGTGGTGCTATGGCTCAAGTGGTAGAGTGCTAGCCTTGAGCAAAAGAAGCTCAGCGACAGTGCCCAGGCCCTGAGTTCAAGCCCCATGACCAACAAAAATAAAAAAGATAAAACCAACAACTCTATTAGCTTGATGACATCAGTCTGTCTAGGCCAAGTTACTTACATATATACATCATATTTTATATATACATACATATATATATACACACACTCTTACACACAAACATAAATATATGTATGTTTGTTTAGAATATACATATATGAAGACAGACACAGAGAGACAGACTAGTTAGTTATTACCAAGGAATTCTTGGAAGTAAAAGTATAATAGGGGCTTCATAATAAGTACTCCAGATATCAGGAATTGACCTTAGTCTGGTAGCAGAGACCTTTTGAAATCAAAGCCAACCAATGTCTTGTTCAAAAGAATCGAAGCCTGCATATGTGCAGAGGAGACATGAGAAAGGGGGAAAATGAAATTTAAATCCTACTCCATACATCTCCATTAGAAGAGAGTGGAAATCTAATGGCATAAATATTTGAGCACAACCACTGACCAATTTTGGAATTGTGAGCTATACAGGCAGAGGGAATTCCATGCCTTAAGATGGTATCAAGGGGCTGGGAATGTAGCTTAGTGGTAGAGTGCTTGCCTGACATGCATGAAGCCCTGGGTTTGATTCCTTAGTACCACATAAACAGAAAAAGCCAGAAGTGGCACTGTGGCTCAAGTGGTAGAGTTCAAGCCCCAGGACTGACAAAAAAAGGGAAAAAAAGAAAGAAAAGAATACAAAAGAAAAGAAAGAGAGAGAGAAAGAAAGAAAAATGGTATCAAGGTAAAATGTTAGGTAACTTATTTTTACAGTGTTTCTAGTCCTCACAATACTCCTTCAAGGTTCACTTCTATAAGTAAGTGTGTAATTGGAGTTAGAATCTTTTACTCTTTTATCCAGAATTCTTTATGTTTTCCCAAAACTATGTATGTCTTGTTCTCTCTGGCCTACATTTTTACCTTCTTGAAACACTAAGAGGCATGCTGCCAAAATAATAAAATCATTTTGCTTTCTTCTTATATAAGAACAACAAAAAATGCTCAACTTACTGCAAGAAGATTCATGATGGTATGCCCCGTCTCCCCAAATAATGGCTTCCGAAATCTGACACTGAACAGTGGGCAAGGATAAACTGTGGAATGAGAAATGATCAGACTAAGTTTGGCAGCTTAAAATTCTAGGAAGAGACATATAATGGCTGGTAAAATTTTCATGATTTATGGCTCATCAGAATATATAAAATTTGGGGCTCAGAAAGCATTTAGCATGGTAGCAGACAAATCTTGAGCAGAAAGTTTTCATGATTGACCACAATAAATCTTTTGATGCAACTGTTTCAAAATTGACTTATGAAGCAATCTTGTCCAAACTGGACTGATATGATCCCGGAAATAAACATCTCCCAATTCTCCTGTTCTCTACTTTATACCCCCTAAGCAGACCTTCATTAGAATAGTCAAATACCAGGCTATTCTCTCAGGCTTTTACAGTTTGAAATGCTGGCACAAGTCATGCTTCCTCTGCATGAGATCCTGCCCTTTCCTACTTCCTTTACAGAGTTCAGTAAGAGGCATCTTTGTCCAAGAGATATTTCTTTTTTAATTTCCACATTCTTTGTCAAGTAGATCCCACCTTAGAATTCCTAAAGTAGATCCCACCTTAGAATTCCTAAGCCCATACTGTAAATATGGGTTTTTAATACAACATACCATTTTAACCATAATTTCTGTATGTTTTCCTTATGAAGATTACTATAGATCTATAATCCTGTATCATGATATTTGATAGGCCTTGATTAAATTCTTATTGTGTGAATAAATTACTGAATAAAAGGATAATGTTGATTACCTTGAAAACATATAGTTTACTGTTTTAGGGCTTATAGTGTTTCATTTGACCTTAAGGCAAGTATTAACATCTCCAGTTAGGGGCAGGGAATGTGGCTTAGTGGTAGAGTGCTTGCCTAGCATGCATGATACTCTAGGTTCAATGCCTCAGTACCACATAAATAATAAATACAATTAATAAAAGGAAAAATACATAATTAAAATCTCCAGTTTACAAACAAAAACAACACAACAACAACAACAAAAACCCTGACAATCTTGAGAAACTGACAATTGGAAAACTCAAGTGACTTGATCGAAGTTATAAAGCTAGTAAACGGTGGAATCGAGAATGCAAATGATCTGATTCTAGATCATGTCACTTTCAAGTAGGTGAAGATATAAAGTTTAAAGTAAAGCTTGAATTTAACCTTTAATTAAAAACACCTCAAACTTAGTTGCATTGCTATAACAATGAGCAAAGAAGCCTACCTTACCAACTGGGAGTGATCTTTATGCAACTAGTTTCCAGTATCTGTTAAGTAATTTTCATAGCTATTTTTAACCAAGTGACAATGAATAAGCTCACCAGATAATATAGATATAAAAATTCATGTCCAAATTATTATTTCTGAAGATCATGGTTTTTATTGAATGAACCATAAACTAAGTTTAAAATGTAGTAAATACCATCAATTTCTTTTTTTCAAATCTTCCCAAAAAACTAAGACCTAGCCAGAATAAGTGGTGACACTGGCCATATGTGGTCTAGTTATTTCAAATGATTCTATCTGCTGAATTGTATCAAGCAGGGCCAATGCAGACAGCACTCTGAGCATCTCAAAGCTATAATCATCATGCCTTGTTCATATGACTCAGAAGAAAGCATTTTTACTACTTACGTCGATATTCTGCTCCAAGTCTCAACATTAGTCGAATGGGAAACACTTTAGCCCAAGGAGTTTCCCATTTCTGGATAAGAATCCCAAACAAGTAAGGTGGGGTTGGAAGTACTAGGTCCTGACGCGACTGGTAGGTAGATGTCACATACAAAAATCCACCATGCTCTTTACTGCCAAGGAAACTCTGGCTGAAGAAAGAATGTCCTAAGTTGCCCACAACATTTCCTAAAACAGAAAACATATTTATTTACTTATTTACTTAAATTTTTATTGTTATTATAAAGGGGATGTACAGAGAGGCTACAGTTACATGAGCCAGGTAATGACTACATTTCTTTTTGGACAATGTCACCCCTTCCCTTGCTCTCTCCCAGTGTTTCTCTCCTATCTCCACCCACAAATCGTATAGTTCATTTTCAACAGGGTAGCTAGTGAGTACTGCTGCTGCATTTGTTTATCCTTTGTCCCTCCATTAAAAAGTGTATGTAAGCCGGGCGCTGGTGGCTCACGCCTGTAATCCTAGCTACTCAGGAGGCTGAGATCTGAGGATCGCGGTTCAAAGCCAGCCCGGGCAGGAGTGACCGTGAGACTCCTATCTCGTGGCGCTGTAGCTCAAGTGGTAGAGCGCTTGCCTTGAGCTGAAGAGCTGAGGGACAGCGCCCAGGCCCAGAGTTCAAGCCCCATGACCGACAAAAAAAAAAAAAAAGTGTATTTAAATCATTCTCTTTTTTTCTTGGTATTGTTTAATTGTATTTTCTAGTAGGCATCACAGAATTAGAGGTAGAGTTGCTGTTACTTTGGTGATCAGAGCCCCAAATTCATCACTGATACTTTACTGTCCTGCTAAATCCTACAATTTTAAGAGATAATTAGAAATATTCCAAGCTGTGCATTGATAGCTAATGTCTATTGTAATCCTAGCTACTCAGAAGGCAGAAATCTGAGGAGTGAGGTTTGAAGATACCACAGGCAGGAAAGTTCATGAGACTCTTATCTTCAATTAACCACCAAATAAAGCTGGACACGAACTTGTGGCTCAAGTGGCAGAGCACTGTGGCCTTGAGAAAAAAAAAAAAAGCTCAAGGACAGAGCCTGGGCCCTGAGTTCAAGCCCCAGGACTGGCAAAAAACAAAACAAAAAGGAGGAAGGGAGTGAGGGAGGGCGGGAGAGAGAGGGAGAGGAGAAAAGGAGAGGGAGGGAGAGTTGGAGGGACAGGGGGGGGAGAGAGAGAGAAATATTCCATACCAATGTAAAAGTCAAAGGAGTTTGCCAGGGGAAAGGAAGGATATAAAATTAAAGAAGGAAGATTTTCTTCCTCCATAATGGAAGTTCCATGTAGTATTCCTTTAAAGCACTAGTATATGCTATGATTTGAAAATAGCCTCTAAAAAATGTGTTGGAAACTTAATCCCTAATACAACAGCATTAAGAGGTAGAACTTAAGTTAACAGACCATGAGAACAGAGTGAGTGGATAGTGTTATCATTGGAGTCGGTTTACACTAAAAGGAGACATATAGTCCCTTCTTTTGCATTGTATTGGCCCGTTCACTATGAGAAGGCATATCAAGGATGCTCTCTCCAGATGCTAGCACTGCCCTAACCATATTAGACTTCTCGGCCTTCAGAAATGTGAAAAATAACTTTATGTTCACTATAAATTACCTACTCTGTGGTACACTATTACAGGAGCACAAAATGAACTAAGATATAGCATATAACTCAGAGGTAGAAAGAAATGTTCCTTGGAATTCAAGGTGTTCATTTAATATTCCTTTGGGATTCTGCCATTAGGGCCTAGAACCAATTACAGGTAACTTTTATCTTTCTGCTTCTCATACCTAACAAACATCTTCCTATTCACTCTTCATTATGTCTCCTTATGTTACTGTATATATCTTTTATTCTTTAAGCATTTATTTCCTTTTACAAAATTGTAGATCATTATCTAGTAAGTGATTTAATTTCTATTATCACCAATCACCTCATCTATAGACAAGTAACATTCCACAGGTTTAAATCTTAACAAAAAAAAAATCCCTAGCACAAAAGTTGACAAAGAAAACAAAAACTGCAAGAATCATTAAGGCTCTTGAATCAATAAAGATGTTCTATAGTAATTTAAATTGGTACTTTATGATGAGAACATTCAATAGAATGGATCCATTGAATTATATGTGTCTTCCATGTCAAAGGACAAAAATTTACTATGAAACTGTTAACTAGCTTTTACTAGAGTTCTAGAATTGAGTATCACTTCATCCTATAAAACAGAATAAATGTTCCAAAGAAAAGGAGAAAAGATAGGAAAGGACTGGGGAAAACTGGAACAGATTAAAAAGCAGATTGGTCATCTCAAAGTTATTCTTCTTGTAAAATTTAAAGCAGAAGGATCTCCCTCATCATGCCATCCAAAACTCTTTTCACTCTATTGATTTTTCAGAAGATCAGATTAACAACTTAAGTTTTGACTTGATGATATAGGACTTCAGCATGAATGTCTACATTTTGGTTTGGTCTGACAGGGCTCCAATGATGGCATGTGGGATACAGAAACTGGACTCATTATATTTGCATCCTGAGTGTTACAGTTTGGATACGAAGTGTCAGCTTCAAAGATTCATATGTTACAAGCTTAGTCCCCAGATGGCAGTGCTATTGAGAGGGGACTGGATCATAAGGGCTCAGCCTTCATTAATGGATTAAAGCCATTCAGTCCCCAGTCTCTTCCTCAGTCTCCTCTCAGCTTCCTGGCCACCAGCTGGTGAACAGCTTAGCTGTTCACACATGCTCCCTTCCATGATACTCTGCCTCACCATGGTTCAGAGACAACAAGAGACAAATGATCACGGGAACAAACCCTTAAGACCATGAGACAAAAGAAATCTTTCCTCTCTTGATTCTGTCAAGTCTTTGTCACAACAATGAAAAACTGACTAACACATGGGACATCTGGTAGAGGGTAAACTGCCAGCAGAACTCTTTTCCTTCTGCTAGCACTGTCTGGGAAGATGGAGAACAGAGGAAGTGAGCCACAATTACAGAGGAGGGTGGGAGGAGTCAATCCTAATGGCTCAATCACTTCTCTTACTTAGACACCAGCTAGACTATATAAATTCTTTTTTATACAAGTTGTTCTGCATTTATCTCTAATTCTGCTTCAATTCTAATGTTTGTGAGCTCAAAGTTGCTTAAAGAAATACGAGTTCTAATGATTCAGGTATCTGAAAGACTTGAAATGGATTATAGGTACAACCTGATCATAGTTCAAGTATGCTCCTACTTTGACTCCTGAATGCAAGGATTACAGAAACGCACTACTATGCACAGTGAGCATGTTAGAGATGGCTTATTAGAAGCCATTTCATCCTCATTGGAATACAGTCCTATATCTATCTATCTTTGTTTTTGGTGCCAGTCCTGGGGCTTGAACTCAGGGCCTAGGCACTGTCCCTGAGTTTCTTTTGCTCAAACTAGTACTCTACTACTTGAGACACAGCTTGACTTTCAGATTTTTTTTTTGTGGGGGAGGGGAGATCGTTTATTGGAGATAAGAGTCTTAAGGACTTTTCCTGGGCAGGCTGGCTTCAAACTGTGAGCCTTAGATATCTGCCTTCTAGGTAGCTAGGATCACAGAAGTGAGCCACCAGTGCTTGGCTAAAAATATTTTCTTATATGCTTAAAACTAGACAAATCATCACTCACTTGCCTGATTTTTTATTTTTTTATTTTTTTTTGTCAGTCATGGGACTTGTACTTTGGGCCTGGATACTGTACCTCAGCTTTTTAGCTCAAGGCTATTGCTCTACCACTTGGTTAACTGGAGATAAGAGTCTCACAGACTTTTCTGCCTGGGTTAGCTTTGAACTGCGATCCTCAGCTCTCAGCCTCCTGAGTAGCTAGGATTACAGGCATGAGCCACTGACGCCCAGCTGCCTGATATTTTAAATACTCTATTATGTTCTCATAATTTTTCTATCATTCATGTATATTCCTTGAAAGGCTATAGTTTTAAGAATAACCTGCCTTTTAATAAATCCATAGGTTCACATAGGTTAATGTAGGTGAACACAGGCTAAAATACATCAGGAGGTTGATCTATAATTTTCTTCTTGTTATTGTGTCCTTACTCAACTTCGTATCTGAGTAATAACTGTCTTCATAGGAAGAGTCTGATAGTGCTCATTTCTTTTCTATTTTGTGGAATAATTTGAGAAGGACTCCATTAAAGGTCTAGTAGAGTTCAACAATGAATGCATCCAGTTCTGAGCTCTTTGTTGGGAGACTATTATTGCTTCAATTTCATTGCTCATTGTAGATCTGATTAGGTTCCTCTCAGATAAATCTCAGTGAGTCACAGATGTTTCCTCAAGATTTTTCAATTTATTGTAGCAAAAGTTTCAAAATATTGTATCACAATTTTGTGCATTTCATTGGTATCTTCTATAATATATCCTCTTTCATCTTTTATTTTATTCATTTGTATCATCTGTTTCTTTTGGTTGGTTTGGCAAAGGGTATGTCTATCTGAAAATAATTAATTTTTTGCTTCATTTATTCCTTTTTTTTTTGGTTGGTCATGGAGCTTGAACTCTGGGTCTGGGCTCTGTCCCTCCCTCAGCTCTTCAGCTTAAGGGGAGCACTCTATCATTTAAGCCACAGCACCACTTCCAGGTCTCTGGTAGTTAATTGGAGGTAAGAGTCTCACAGACTTTCCTGTCCAGGCAGGCTTTGAACATTGATCCTCAGATCTCAGTCTCTTGAGTAGCTAGGCATGAGACACCATGCCCTACTTCATTTATTCTTTTAGTCCCCATTAATTTCTCCTATTTTATTGATTCTTTCCATCTGATAATTTTGGATTTGGCTTGATTTTGTTTAAGAGGTCAGAGTAACCCAAGGCTATTTGATTATTCTCTAATTTTTATTTTGTTTGTTTTCAGTCCTGGACTTGAACTCAGGGCCTGGGCTCTGTCCTTGAGCTATTTTTGCACAAGGATAGTGCTCTACTACTTTCAACCACAGCGCCACTTCTGGTTTTCTGGTTGTTAACTACAGGTAAGAGTCTCATCAACCTTCCTGTCCAGGCTGGCTTTGGACTGCAATCCTTAGTTCTTAGACTCTCCACTAGTTAGGATTACAGGCATGAGCCACTGGCACTTGGCTTCTGATTTTTTTTCTTTTTTTTTTGGTCGGTCATGGGGCTTGAACTCTGGACTTGGGCACTGCCCCTCAGCTCTTCAGCTCAAGGCGAGTGCTCTACCGCTTGAGCCACAGTGCCACTTCCTTCTGATTTTTTTAAAATATAGGCATTTATAAATTTCTTTCTTAGAATTGTCTTTCTTTTTTTGGGGGGTTCGGTCGTGGGGCCTGAACTCTGGGCCTGGGCGCTGTCCCTCAGCTCTTCAGCTCAAGGCTAGCACTCTACCACTTGAGCCACAGAGCCACTTCTGGCTTTTTTCTTTTTGCTTATGTGGTGCTGAGGAATCGAACCCAGGGCCTCAGGCATGCAAGACAAGCACTTTACCACTGAGCCACCTTCCCAGCCCCAGAATTGTCTTTCTTGTATCCCACAAGTTAAGGTATTCTGTATTTTCATTTCATTTGATTTTAGTAATTTGAAATTTTCTTTCCCGATTTCTTCAATGACACATTGATCATTCTAAAGTTCAAACCTCCTTGTGTTTATAAAGTTTCTATAGTTTTTCTTATTATTAAGTTCAATTTAATTCCCTTATTATCCGGTAACATACAAGAAACCATTTTAATTAGTTTGTATTATTAAGATTACCTTTATGGCCCAATATAACTTATTTCAGAAAAGCATCAATAGATTGCAAATATGTGTATGCACAACTGTTAGAATACTCTGTAAATGTCTGTTAGGTTTATTTTCTGTACAGTGCAGCATTCTTTTTTTTTTTTTAATAGTACCAGGTTTTGAACTCTGGGCCTCTTGCTTGCTAGATGAGTACTCTACCACTAAGCCAAAGTTCCAGCCCTTTTTTGTACTATTTTTTGGGGAATAGAGTTTCACTTTTTGACCAGGCACATGCCTGGACCACAATCCTTTTTTTGGGGGGGATCAGTCATGGGGCTTGAACTCTGGGCCTGGGCGCTGTCCCTCAGCTCTTCAGCTCAAGGCGAGCACTCTACCACTTGAGCCCCAGGGCCACTTCTGGTTTTCTGGTGGTTAGTTGGAGATAAGAGTCTCACGGACTTTCCTGCCTGGGCTGGCATTGAACCGCGATCCTCAGATCTCAGTCTCCTGAGTAGCTAGGATTACAGGCATGAGCCACTATCACCCAGCTCACAATGTTCTTATTCCAGCTAGTGGAATGACAAATGTGTTCTAAAACACTTAGCGTTTTCTACTGAGATAGAATCTTGAAGACTTTTTTTTTTTGGCAAGATTACCTAGAATCATGATGCTCCTAATCTCAGCCTCCCATGAAGTCTGGATTAGAGGTATGAGCTACCATGTTGGGCTACTGTGTAATAAGATTTGTTGGTATTGATTTTGGTTTTGATCAATCTAGTGATGAGTAATATATTAAAGTAGGTGGATTTTTAATGCCAAATAATAAGCTGAAACTTTAGTATTTGTATACCTAGCCTTCTCCAATTTCTTTTTTTTTTTTTTTTTGTCGGTCGTGGGGCTTGAACTCTGGGCCTGGGCGCTGTCCCTCAGCTCTTCAGCTAAAGGCAAGTGCTCTACCACTTGAGCTACAGCACCACTTCCGGTTTTCTGGTGGTTTATTGGAGATAGGAGTCTCACAGCCTTTCTTGCCCGGGCTGGCTTTGAACTGTGATCCTCAGATCTCAGCCTCCTGAGTAGCTAGGATTACAGGCATGAGCCACCAGCGCCCGGCGCCTTCTCCAATTTCTAATAGCTATTCCTTCACATCTTATAGTTAATAATGTATTTTGATAAGATAAAGTTGTCTACATTGTTTTTGATATGTGAATCCAATACTGATTACACTGTGATTATATAAGCACTGACAACTGAAGCTTATAAAGTATGATTGTTACTTCCTACTACCAATATCAAGTTGTGATCCTTAAGCTAGTCAAAGGAAAATATTCTTTTATCAAGGTCAGTAGACTCTATTACAACTTAGATTCTAGCCTTTGTAATAATGAAAACCATACAGGGAAAGTATTAAAATGTATAATTTCTTCATACCATTGATATCAAAGTCCAATGCTACACTTCTAAATCTAATCCGATTACTATATATCTCAATTCAACAATTTTTATCATTTATCAAGGATGCAGATCAAGTCAGAATGCATTCCTACCTGCCAGGGCATCTCGATAAAGCTGCACAAAGTGATTAAAGATGTCCTTTGGCAAACACTTTTCATCAGGTAGACACTGGAGCAGAATGACTATCTCCGATTGACCCACTGCATGCATTCCCTTGGTTGTGAAACACCAGCACTTCCTGTTCACATCTATGAGTGAAATAAAATTACAAAGATATTATTCTCAATGTTTACTCTTTAAAAAAGATGCACACATGGTAAGATATAGAAAAAGATCATATAAGTCTGTATAATTCAACTGTGAACTGTCATTACATTGTCAAAGAATCATTGTGAGAAATAAATTATGTCAATCCTCTGGCTCTTTTTTAACCACATATAAATAAAAGGAAAGTAAAAGAAATGATCATGAAAGAAAACACACTTAAATCTTAAACTTATTATTAAAATATAAAATCAGCAAAAGAAACATTTTAGCAAAACCAAAATATACCATAATGATTAAAGGATATAATCCTCCCCATTTATTTATTTTTTTTAAAAAAACAACACTTTAGCAAAGTAAATAATCACTTATGGAAGAACAGAAACAATAAAAGCCAATACTAAGCTGGATGCAAGTGGCTTATGCCTGTAAGCCTAGATACTCAGGAGGCTGAAATCTGAGGATCCCAATTCAAAGCCAGCCCAGGGAAGGAAAGTCCATGAAACTCTTATCTCCAATTAACCATCAAAAACTCAGAAGTAGAACTGTGGCTCAAGTGGTAGAGCATGGACTTGAGTAGAAAATATTTAGAGACAGTGTCCAGACCCTAAGTTCAAGCCCAGAACCAGCACACACACACAAAAAAAGCCAATACCACATCTCTGGCTTCAGGTTATAGCCTAAAGAAAACACATATTTTTTATGTACTAGCTAGTTTAATTGAAGTGTTTTGGGAGAAAATACTAAATTACCAGCAACATGACTTTACTCAGCTTCATGATATAAAATGTGGTGAAAAGGATGACTTTCCTAGACTACTGACTTCAACTTCTTTAATTAAAGTCTAGGAAGAGTCTAAAAGTACAAGTCATGTGCTAATCAAAAATAAATTTGAGGGGATAGGTGAGTTTGGAAAGGCTGGAGGAAAATGATGAAAGGGGTGGTATACACCAAGATGCATTGTACTCATAAACTGACAACACCTTTGTACAACTGCTTAACAGGAATAAAAGAAAAATTTAAAAATAAATAGTGGGGCTGGGTGCCAGTGGCTCACAACTCTAATTCTAGCTACTCAGGAGGTTGAGATCTAAGGATCATGGTTCAAAGCTAGCCTGGGCAGAAGAGTCTGAGAGACTCCTATCTCCAATTAACTACCACAAAACTGTAAGTGGCCCTGTGGCTCAAGTGGTAGAGCATTTGCCTTGAGCTGAAAAGCTCAGGGACAGTGCCCAGGCTCAGAGTTCAAGCCCCATGACTGACAAAACAGAAAAATAAACAAACAACAGGTTCACACCTGTAATCCTAGCTATTAAAGAAGTTGAGATCAGTGTGAGGGTCGAGGTTCAAAGCCAGCACAGGCAGGAAAGTCTTGAGACTCTCATCTCCAATTAACCACCAGAAAATCAGAATTGATACTATGGCTCAAAGTAGTAGAGCTCAGGGACAGCATTCATGCCCCAAGTTCAAGCTCCATGACCGACAAAAAAAAAAAAAAAAACAAAAACAGAAACAAAAACAACTCAGCACATAAATTGTTTGGTGCTTTTAGGTACATTATTCAGCTCTAGTTAAATCTGGTGATGAGTTTTAAATTATTAACATATATCAAGATTTTAATTCAGATTAGTTCAGGATTTATTGACTTTCATACATGGAAAATTTACTTATCTCATCTCTGTAACTAAAGGCAAGAGCTTTGATTAGTCTCACAAGTTCTCTAGAACATATCTTATTTGCTTATAAAACAGTTCCTTTGGAGTTAGGTGCTGGTGGCTCACACCTGTAATCCTAGCTACTCAGGAGGTTGATATCTGAGGATCACAGTTCAAAGACTGCTCAGGTAGGAAGGTCCATAAGACTCTTATCTCCAATAAACCACCAGAAAACAGAAGTGGCCCTGTAGCTCAAGTTACAACTTAAGCTGAAGCACTAATCTTGAGCTGAAGAGCTCAGGGACAGCACGCAGGCCTAGAGTTCAAGCCCCATGACTGACAAAAAAAAGTTTCTTTGGAATACAGTATACAGTAAGATGTAGCTCTGTACAAAAATACAGTTGTTCGATGAATCTTTGAAAACTTTATTTACTATCTCTTAGTCTGTAGAATATTCATCTTCATTAAAAAACAAATTTCTAACTTACAATTTACAATTTTAACCATTGACAACAAATTTGCATTTAAAACAAATACAAGTGGGTCAGGACCACCATCCTCCAATTGCTGCATTACTGATATCTGTGATGGTTTCTCTTCCACAGCATAATCTGTAAGGAAAGAAAACATTGTAAAAGATTAGTTAAAGAAACATAAAGGAACAAATTGACAAATAAATATGATGGAAAATGGACTGACTATTCTCAAGTAGGAGATAAGCATTTGATTTATAAACAGAATGAACACAGGCTATGATTTGAACCTGATGAATATCTCACTGGCATGTTAATAGTATCTCCTTCTATTATGAAAAGTGTCAAGTACAGTTTGGAAGATAATATGTTTATCCTATGCACACACCTTTCCCCATAGTAATTTGTATCAAATCTAAAGATATTTCTTTTTTTGTTTGTTTGTTTTTTTGGGTCCAGTCATGGGGCCTGAACTCTGGGCCTGGGCGCTGTCCCTCAGCTCTTCAGCTCAAGGCTAGCGCTCTACTACTTGAGCCACAGCGCCACTTCTGGCTTTTTTCTTTTTGCTTATGTGGTGGTGAGGAATCAAACCCAGGGCCTCTGGCATGCAAGGCATGTGCTCTACCACTGAGCCACCTTCCCAGCCCCAAGATATTTCTTTTATTTAATAAAAACTATCAACTTTTACCCAGATGCTGGTAGCTCACACCTGTAATCCTAGCTATTCAGGAGGCTGAGAGCTGAGAATCAGGGTTCTTATTTCTTATCACAGGCCCAGGCCCTAAGTTCAATCCTCAGACAAACAAAAAACTACTCTTTCGGAAGTGGCGCTGTAGCTCAAGTGGTAGAGTACTAGCCTTAAACTGAAGAGCTGAGGGACAGTGCTCAGGCCGAAAGTTCAAGCCCCACACCCAACAAAACAAACAAACAAACAAACTACTCTTTCAAAAAAACATGTTATATAATAAATGATCATTATTCAAAATAATCCAACATATTCAAAAAAAGTGATAGTACAGTAGCAGTTGTCTCTGGAAAGGATTTCAAGGGCTTGCATTCAAGAGATGCCTACTTTTTTACCCTTGGATACAGTTTTAGTACTTTTGACCACTGAAACATTAAAACATAGACTGTTTAAATGCCATCAGAGAAAAGTCTAGGAGAGATGAGAGAAGAGACCCTATGGGGGTTGGGGAGAAGATTAGGAAAGTAGGATAAAATTATGATTTCCCTGCCCCTTGTGGCCTCCACTGTAAAGCTTCGAAACACACGGAAACTGGAGAAAAGCAAAAAAAGATTAAGTAGGTTTTGCTTCTCTCAGCCATAAATGAGTTCTCTCTCAATTTAGTTTAGACAAAATACTAGTGTTGCTGTTGTTTTTTTCAAAAGTGTCTCACTTTCCACCCCTCTGTACAGTATGTTCACAAAAAAAAAAAAAAAAAAAAGTGTCCCACTTTCCCATCAAATTGAAGTCTTGTAGAATCCTGTCAGTCCAAGCACAGATTTTACTGCTTGTTTTTTGGCTAATACTGTCACTAATAAAAAGAAACAGTTCACCAAAAAAAAAATGCAATCAGAAAATATAAATATCATAGGTAACTGGTTTCATGTAATAATGTCTCTCATTTAATAGCTTAGAATATAAATCACTAAAGTAAATTACTAATTAGATTCTGAACATGAGCAAATAAATACTTGATATTGTGAATGAAATTTTTCCTCTTTAATCTCTGAACTTTATTCAGCCACCTTATTTTGAACGATGTGGTCCTCTCAGCTAAAAGCCAAAATCAGGAATAATAACCACTGTATCAGATACTTCCTTATATGATTCTTAGACAGGTTTAAAAAATAATATAGGGGGGCTGGGAATGTAGCTTGGTGATACAGTGCTTGCCTAGCATGCATGAAGCCCTGAGTTTGATTCCTCAGTACCACTAAACAGAAAAAGCCAGAAATGGTGCTGTGGCTCAAGTGTTAAAGTGCTAGCTTTGAACAAAAAAAGCTCAGGGACAGTGCCCAGGCCTTGAGTTCAAGTTCCAGGACTGGCAAAAAAAAATCTAGGGGCAAGTTTCAGAGAGGATATATGACTTGTCCACTAAATAATACTGTACAATAGTATTGGGAGTAAAATATGCATTTGTTCAACTATTAAGTCATTTTCTTCCCACTATTTTGTAGCAAAATAAAAAGGTTCAAAGTATAAAAAATGAACATTTATAACACAGTAAACAAACTATATTTTCTTTTTTGTCGGTCGTGGGGCTTGAACTCTGGGCCT